CAGTCATTCTTATAAATAATAATGCTGGCGATAATCGGAAACTTTTGGCTATAAACAATTCCAAAAAAAAGCTGCTTTAAACATTTTAAGAAATTATCTTTGCCTCCGAGAAAACGTGACCGTACCGTACCGTGACCGTGACCGTATCATAATAATAATAATAATAAATAATAAAAAAATAATATTAATAACATAATAACATATTTACACAGGGTAAACCCGTCAGCCGAAGCTATTATAAAAGGGTGCCTTGGGCAACTTAAAATTAAGAATTGAAGAAAAAATTACTATAACAGATGAACCATTAGAAAAATGTAAAAACTATGTACAATGTTGATGGATAAAAACTAAGAATTGTTTAACTAAGTAAATTAAAAACAAAAATCCAGAATAATATCATCATCACAATTTTCCCCTTTCTCTGTTAAAACCGATTGAATTTCTGCATTTTTTTTGAATAGCAGTTAATAACTTTAAAAAATATGCGAACCAGCTGACGGTAACAGCAAATTCCAATTAAAATTTTAAAAAGAATTCAATAGCAAAAAAAAGGTGGCAGTCATTCCCGCATGGAAATCTTTAGTTGAGTTCAGCAGTAAAAGAAAATGGTGCAAAGGCGCAATGCGTGTGTCACATGTTTTGACAAAGAATGACATGCAAGTTGTGTGGAAGCAATTCAACTTCCACAGGAACACTTAGCAGGAGTAGGGGAAAAAAGACCCTTATCTGTGTGCTTATCCTGCCATTCCCCTTGGGTGACCTCATAATACAGGTTGGACTGTTTGGTAACTCCAGGGGCAAATCAAGAATCAGAGAAACTATTTTAAATATGATCTGTATATTTTTATTTTACATTCAGGTCACGGTCTCAACAATCAACATATGTCTACATTCGTCTGCTTATTCGATCTTGGTACAGCGTTAAAACCAATTGAATTGCTGCATTATTTTTTTGAATAGCAGTTAAACGTCACTGTCTTAACAATCAACATTCATCTACTTATTCGATCTTGGTACAGCGTGTTTATTCATATTGTCATAGTTTAAAGTGGAACTTTCTGCACATGCAGTTAGGTTAGTATAATGTGTAATTACAGCTATAGTGACTTACTGAATAGTCTTACAGTGACCCCCTTATGCGCAAATAACGCTATATATTATGATTAACCCTGATAATGATAATATGATAATGATAATAGTCTTCATTGCCAAAAGATAAGAGTACATATCTTTTTTTACATTATAGTCGCCTGTACACTCAATAAAAATTTACCCTAAAAATTAAACTAGTTAAACTACAAATGGGTGACAAAATACTACGTAGAAACTATATCATCTTGCGTTTAAAAATCAATCTATTTACATCGTTTGGTATTAACCTGGGGGGGGGGAGACACTGTTTCTTATGTAGATTGTACTGATTTATTCTCCTTTGTTGGTGGTAAATACGAGCCTAGCGGATGATTATCTACAGAGATAATAGCCTTTAAAATCTAGCAGTCCTGTCTATATAAAAGGTCCTTAGTAGGAACGGGAGACGTAAAAAAGCGATGCTTGTGGCAGCGACCCAAAAAAGATTGTATAATATTCAAATATGATTCTCACGCTCCATACACAGAAAGGAAATAAGTAAAATTCGGTAGACGATTTCTGGTATATTTACATGTCATAAAGCAAAATAACACATACAATGGCTTTATTTTTTAGAAATTGACTCGTACAGTATTTGTTGATTTTTCCTTAAGATAAGGATGTGGTTCCATAGTTTTCTTTCGAACCGTTTTTTGATCCTCCTCACTGCAACCTATCCTGAGGTTTTCATAAAACTTTGCCTTTAGATGTTTTTTTCCCCGTATTATTATCATTATGCGGGCGATTAATTGCGAAATTTTATAAGGATCATCCCCACTTGTTGGAGGAGGGAAGCAAGAGGAGGAAGAATTTGAAGAGAGCGTATCATGGTTAATATTTTGCTCCAAATCTCTGTCGGAATCACAAGTTTTGTGTGACTTCAACAATCGAAGATTTCATTAGAAATATCCGCGGAAACTTTGCTTTTACAGTCAGTCTAAATATTTTCTTTAGAAGACAATCGATATAATTTTAAACGAATCCATTATGAATTGACTAGACCGCCTGTTTTTGAAGAAATTTTATCGATAATTTGGCATTTACAAAGTTTCTGAAAATCTGATGGCGCATATACTCTCACGCACCTTTTAAATAAACGTAAACATGATCACCGAAATCACCTTAAAATAATTTCCTAATAATTTTCCTTTCCAAAACTAGCGAGAGACTTTCACCTGTATGTACATTCTAGGTAAATATTTTGCCACTATTCATAAAGTTTCCTAATATAAATTGATAGCCATTTTTGTATTGCGTGTATATCCGCAACACATCAAAAGCCGCCAATTCCTGGGGCATCTTAACACACTTAAGCCGGTTTTTTTTTTCAAATTTCAATTAATCTTATTCTTTTTAGAGAAAATGACCGGTGAGCTTAATTTTGAGCTGAACCAGAATCTGAGGCAATCGGATTATTTCTTGTTGTCAAGATTTTCTTGAATTCGTGCCTAAATGCCCGATTCATGAAACCATAAATGAAAGGATTTACACAACTAGATGTAAAGACAAAAAAGGTGACCATAAATTTAAGCTGATGAGGCACGTATAACTCGAAAAGAAACGCTACAAATACGGCATGAGCAGGCACCCAAAGAATGGCGAAACCAACAATAGTTACGAGAAGTGTTTTAGTAATTTTAACATGCTCGACATTGGCACTCTGCCACGAAATATTGGCATTATGCATCCTCACGACGCGGTAAATCTTCCAGTAACAAAACCCGATAACAAAATAGGGCAAGTACATTATAATTAGCACAACAGATACAAACTGTCCAAAACTTACTGTACAAACTGCGAAACTCAAGTCTTCCTGAGGGCGGGAATCGGAAGCAAAGGCGAAGATGAGAGACATCAAAACCATCGTTACCCACGCTGCTGATGCAGTTATAACAATAAACCTCTTTGTAAAAACACTTTGGTAACTCGCTGGTCTCACTATCTTGTAATATCTGTTCAACGCCATCAGCGCCATCGTCAATAGTGAGGTTTTCGACAAAGACAACTTTGTAATCGCAGAGACGTAGCACATTGGGGTTCCAAATGGCCACCTTCCCATAGCTAATAGGAAAACAGATAGCGGCATTACCAGCACAGCTTGGAAAATGTCGGTCAGCGCCAAAGAAATGAGGTAGTAGTTGCTCGGACAACGAAGTCTTGGGTTTCTGCGTATAGCATGGCAAACCATGAGATTTCCGAGAAAGGAAAGAACCATCACCAAAGTAACCAACCCAGTCTCAAATAGCACGGTTGCTGTGTTCCTATGCTCCATGTTCACTTGTCTAGCTCCTTCCTTTCGCTTATCTTTTTCTTGCGGGTGGTTGAAACTCTGGTAAGCGTCAGAAACAGACTTTTCAGCTTTGACGAGTGATTGGTATGTATCAATTCGCGCCTTCAAAACGTCTTCGTGGGAAGTGCGATCCGATTTCAAGTATTTCACCCGAGCTGTTTGCTTCGACTGTGAGGATGAAATAACGTTTCGATAAGCGCATTAATTTAACGAAAGTCAGAGTTGCACAAAACATCTGCTCCAAAACTTAGGTCAATATTAATAGTGTCATCAATAAATAAACATCCTCCACATCAGCTTAGAACCTAAAAGCGTGTTGTTATCAGCTCTCTTGCTATATTGCTATCTTACTTTATCCTTTGAGCACAATGCAAATAGTCATCGTCACTCATTGTTCTCTTTGAAAATTGCAGTCAGTGTTACCTTTTAAGCTGATGAATTGTTTCCTCTACGATGTAATAAACAGACGTACACTTAGAGTGGGTGTACATTAGAACTCATCACGTCTTAACGCTGTCAATTTTTTTTTCTTTCATGAATACACATACAGCTCTACCAAACATTAATTTATATCTACGTAGTAATTTAAATGGAAATTTTGTTTGTGGTATTGTTCCTAACAGGAAATAAGCAAAACACCTTAATTAATACCTGGAAGTAATATATTTTAAATCTTATATAGAAGTTCCCTGTAAGTCTGTTTTGAGTTAAACTTATTTTGTCTTAGCGAATTTCCTTCTCAACTGCCTTAATATAGGTTAATTTAATATATTATTTTCTCCTTGCCAAGATATAAAACACACTGTTGGAAACTTAAACACAGTTTCCTAATCATTGAAAGTTACAACGCACAGATATACGCCCTTGTTCCTGTAAATACTAAATGTTGCTTTTATCAGACTGATAATCCTCCCTTACAGATTTTATTTTTTTAGATTTTAGCTATACCATGAATCTAAGGATCCTACGCTGCCTTAGTCATCACAAAAGGCTTTCTCTTTGAATACTGGTTTAGGTATTAAAACTGACTCACTCTAAGTCAAAAATATACTTTAAACTTTTGTTTATTTAAAGAAGGAAAAGCGAACGCGGCAACGGCAGACATAAGAACAAAACATGACCAAAAAATTTTAGTCCATGAAATGTTTGGCAAAGATGCAATAATTTATCTTTAAACGCGGTCACTTTTAATTTCTCCACGAACCACTCAATTACGCCCGAGGGTTTCCCTTTGTAAGGGGGTTTAGACTTGGACCAAACATGGGCCCACTCCGAAATATGCAGCCAGATACAATTTTTGGTAGACTCCGTAAGTAAATACGAGAGAGAGAGCATCAAATACCAACCAAAAAAGATTAAGAGAGATGTTACCGCTTTCAGACCCCAAGGAAACGTACTTTGAATTTTAACCTACCCCTTAGGTAGGAGTTTTGTATTATGAATTTTAGAAATTAGGATAAGGAAATTTTGTGGTAGTTACTCTGTAATTCCACAATAAGATACCAAATCTTGGATGGTACAAATAAATCTTAGCGATATTTTCTTGTTAAATTTCATCAACTCAAGGAGGACTCGTCCGTTACACTGGACCGGGTTTTCTGTGACTGAGTTCCATGTCCACTGACTGCTTCGTTTTCAGGATCAAGCACTTTTTGAATTCATTTCTGAATGAACGGTTCATAAAACCATAGATGAAAGGATTTATGAAACTAGACGAGAAAATAAAAAGAGTCGCGAGAAATGTGAGCTGACGTGGTAGCCTCCTATGATAGGAGACCAGGTAGATGATTTGAGCCGGCAACCAGAGGCTGACAAAACCGACGACGGTAATAAACAGGATTTTCGCGACTCGAACATCCTCTACATTTGCATTCTGCCATGAAATATTTGCGTTGTGCATTTTGACGGCCCGGTAAACTTTCCAATACCAGAAAATAAAGAGAGGATAAGGCAAAAACGTAATAAATATCAAAGTTGGTAGAGAAATTGGCATTTCATAAGTTGTCAAAGGCAGTGCAAAAGCCGGGCACACATGGTTGGAAAAACGAGACGTGACAATAAAGAGAAGAGAGACAACAATGAATGTAGCCCACACCGCTAAGGCTGAAGAAACAATGAACTTCTTTGTGAAAACAGATTGGTATTTCGTTGGCTTTACAATTTTGTAGTACCTGTTCAAAGCCATCAATAACATGGTCCATGCTGAGATGTTGGTTAGTGATAACTTGGAAATGGTTGCGAAATATGTGAGAAACGTTCCAAAAGGCCATTTTCCAGTAGCCAGCAGGATAACTGACCACGGCATTGTAGATAAAGCAAGCGAAATATCAGTCAGGGCCAAAGAAATGATGTAGTAGTTGCTTGGACGCCGACAAAGTCCTGGGTTTCTGCGTACGGCATAGCAGACCATGAGATTCCCAAATAAAGAAAGAATCATCGCCAAGGTAAATAGGAAGGTTTCAAAAACCACAGTCACTGTGTTTCTTTCCCTTAACTCGCTCCAAAGCTCAAGAGTGTCGCTTTGTTTGTGAGACATTATATGGAATTTCCTTCAAGACCAGAAAACGAACAAGTAAGTGTAGGTCTTTTATAGCGTGACTGCTGAAAGCCCTTAACATTAAGGCCGGCTCCTGGTAAAAAAGGTAAATTCTGTGGGAAAACTGGCTGGGAATAGGAGGGCGAAGGAAAATTTCACTTTGAAGGTTAAAATAAACGGATGGTTTTGTATGCCGATATAATAAATTAAAGACTAACAAAAAGCGAAAGGGGGCGAGTTACTCATCTGAATGACGGTGATTCCGGGCCACCAACAAATCTCTTTGTGATAGCAGGAGCTGGTTCATTTTCGAAATTCTATACATGGCAATATTCCTCATAAATAAATTGTATTCTAGAAACAGTTTACATGGAACTGTTTATTAAAGAAAATCAAAAGGAATACCATATTATTAAAAACTAATTCTAGTTTTTCAAGCTGCACAGTTAGGTTTTTAATTAATAATTCTACATGTGAAATTATCACAATAAGTACATTTTATACTTTGACAGAAAACCCCTAAAGCGAAATCGGCACCATATGAAACACATGTAAACATTTAGGAGGTTAAATTATTCTTCTTTTTCAGCGTTTTCAGTATTGAGGGTCGCTCAGGATAGAGTTCCCTCTTTCAACATTGTATTTTGATCTGACTAACTGTGACGACAACACTTGAATAATTCATCTATATCGTAGAACTCAATTATTAAGGGTACATATAGAAAAAAACATACCCCTTTGAACTAACCAATATGACGCAAAATTGAAAAAGTAATTAAAATAGTAATTCCTCTTGCGCTTTTGTTAATTCCAATCTTAAATAAACCATAAAAAGTAAAGCCATTTCTCAAACAATAGCTTTGCTTACACCTCTCGTGATAAAACTTTATATTTATTTTCTTACTTTAATTTTTAATTATTGATCTTTGTAAGAAAGCATTACCTTTGAGTATGTTTGTGATTTGGTATTGCACCGAGGCTACTGAGAACGGGTCGGCTGTTTTAAAACAGGTCAGTTCTCATGCCGTATTACGTAACATGAATTAGCAACTGGCATGATATAAATCTTACGTAACATTCCCTAAGGACATGTCTCGAAACTTTCTTGTGCTCCATTAAAATCTCTCAGTAAAAGAAAATGTTGAAACGAGATTCTCACCTATCTAGGAAAAATATGTATCAATGGGGGCTGCATCTATTTATATTTAAGCAATGAAAATTATTAAATGTATTGAGGCCTTTATGTATATAATTCTGCTCATGGATACGCCATGATTCATGGAGTCCCACTTTGCTTTAGTCATTACAAAATATTTACACTCGAAGTATTTCTTTTAAACATCAAATTTAATATAGGCTTTGATAAGTAAAAGGGCATCAGTTATATTTTGTACATCTCCGATCAGTGAGCAACATTCAAGAAGGGGTCTTAAGGAATTAAAATGAAAATGCAGAAAACTACAACACTCTGGAATGGAGTCAAAGTAATCGTTCCAGCGGACACACAAATAAGTGAAAACATGACCAAGAGATAGATATTTATTAGATAAAAGGGAGATTACAGTAATTCATATCTAAGCGCCCTTCTTCATGCGAAGTTCAGTCAATTGATCGAGTAGATACCTTTATAAACAGGTTATACTACAGTTCGGAAACATACGGAGGCAACTAGATATAATTCTAGCAGTCTTGAAGGGGATACGACGGAGTGTTAAGCTTTTCGTAGGATCTGTACCACATTCGATTTAATCTTTTTCAAAGGTACGCATAATCACCGTTGAAACAAGCAAAGAATCATACTTTCAATTTGAGCATACTCCTCAAGGGAAGTTAGTAGATAGAACGGCAGCAAAATTTCGACCGTTATTAAAATCAATTGTGACATGTAGTCATTCCAAGAGTAAGTCCCGAATCATCAGATAGCGCTAATTAATAATCTGAACAATGTTTTCTGGTTTCGCAGGACTTGCTTCCGAGCCTATCGAGTGCTTCTTTTTCAGAATCAAGAAGTTTTTGAATTCATTTCTGAATGAACGGTTCATAAAACCATAAATGAACGGATTTATGAAACTGGATGAGTAAATAAGAAAAGTCGCAAAAAGTTTAAGCTGGCGTGGTAACGCTATATAAAAAGACATAAGAAAGATAGTTTGAGACGGCAACCAGAGGCTGAGAAAGCCGACAACAGTGACAAGCAGAATTTTGTAGACTCGAACATCTTGTACATTTGCACTCTGCCACGAAACATTTGCATTGTGTATCTTCACAGTCTTGTAAACCTTCCAGTAACAGAAAATGATGACAGCATACGGCGAATAGAAAATAACAACCGCAGTTAGTTTAGCAACTGGCATTGGAAATGTTGTCCCAGGAACTTCAAAAGCTGGAATCATATCATTTCTCGAACCAAATGCGAGCACAGAGAGAAGAGCAAGAGAAACGAATGCAGCCCACACACCTAATGCTGTGGAGATGATAAACTTCTTCGTAAAAATAGTTTGGTATTTTGCTGGCTTCACTATCTTGTAATACCTGTTTAAGGCCATCAGTGCCATGGTGGATGTCGAGATGTTCGTCAATGATAACGTGGAAATGGTTGCAAAACGACTCAGAAAAGTTCCAAAAGGCCATTTTCCAGTAGCCAACAACACAACTGACAGCGGCATTGTAAACAAAGCTATTGAAATATCTGTTAGGGCCAAGGAAATGATGTAGTAGTTGCTTGAGCTACGAAGCCTTGGGTTTCTTCGTACGGCATAGCACACCATAAGATTCCCAAATAGAGAAAGAATCATTGTAAGGGTAAATATGACAGTCTCAAACACAACAGTCGCTGTGTTTCTTTCTTGCATCTGTTGCCAAACTATACTGTGATTCATTCTACTCTCTTTGATTTCTTTTTGTAATCAGAGACAGTACAGTAATTTGTTGTTGTTTTTTTTTCGGTAACAGCCTTTTGAAAGATATTTTCAGGTTCGTGGGAAGGCTTGGTGAACTGAGTTCAGTGAAGCACATGTAGAAATATATGTGCTCAGATATGCTGACAAGGATACAAATGGACGGAGCTAAAATGAACGGAAGCTTAAGACACCAATCAAATGAAAGGGCTCCAAAATCAAATTAGTATCTCATTAGAATTCTATTCAACCAAATAATCATATGGTGGCCTTTTAATTGGGAGAGCTGGTTCGATGAATTCAATAGCGTAACGGGAAATGATTTGGTATTGAAGAAATTGTACAATTAATATAAATTTAGATTGGCACATCTCAGTAAGATCAATTGAAACTTATCAAATATTGATTTTATTGTTTTAAGCAAAACTTCGTGGTTTATCTTGAAAATATAAAATTACTATTTCTTGACGTTTTCAAGAACGTGAGTCGCTAATTCGTGAGATCAAACTCCTTTTAGTCAAATTTGCCGGTATTTTTTTAACTGTCATCCCGCGATGACAACACGTACAGCGGACTTTAAAAGCTAAGAAACCAACTCCAAAGTTAAAATAAATATATAAGACTCTTTTCAATTCTTTGGGTGAGACAAAATTGAATTAAAAAGTTGTTAAAATAGTGACCCCTCTTGTGTTGTTGTTCCAAAAGACGTCATAGAGTTCTTTTATTTTTGTGTTTTACCGTCTTTTTCGTTGAATACAATGGCCTTTAAAGTTATTTCCCGAAATTAGGTTTTTTCTCGATTTTGCACGAAAGCGTAAGCTGTTTTCGATAACTCGGTTCACAAAAGAGCTCGCAGAGGATATTAACTCGAGATATACTTGTGTCTTGCGGTGAATCGTTTCATAAAACCGAGATGTGGACGCACGAGTCACTTCTTACGAGGGAGAGTTCTCTATCTCTAAAAATTTCAAATACATGTACTCAGTTAATGACAATTACAGTAAATACATCCACATCCCTATTTGAAAAAGTCTAGTACTTACATCAGCCTTATATATAACTTTTTTCCAAGACATCATGGTGTCGATAGATTTGTAATAACTCATATAGTCCCACATTGGCTTAGCCATCATCTGATTTTTATACGTTAAGGGTTATCTCTAAGCAACAAAATTGATTCGCGTTTTGATCAACTTACTAGCCAAAAGAAAGCCTTTAAATTTCGTACATAAAAGGACTTTTGTCGTTGAGATGCATCTAACGGCCCTTAAAGAAAATACGGCGGAGAGGGTCAGGTGCCATTAGTCAGTTCAGCTGTACCTTACCGATTTGATTCAGACCTTTCGAAAGGCTCGAAGTAAACACCAGTAGTACCACCCATCACAGAAATATACTACAAATTTGAACTAAGTCCCTAAGGAAAAACAGTTGAACAACGGTCGTTATTATTAGCAGTAAGTACGAGGAAAGGAATTTTAAAATAAATTCGTAAGTATTGACACGCCAAGGTCCGACTTCTTGGATGCTGCCATCAATAACAGTTTCAACATTATCTGAGATATTTCAAGTGAATACGAAAGTGTACTTTTTGTTTTTGTTTTTTGTTTATTTTGCCATTTTGTACTTATGATACATCAGTAGAAATAAGAAAGGAATCACACATGTATTAATATGTTATAGCTACAATTTATCATGAGTTAAGGAAACCTGTTAGAAGTAATTTCCCAACACTAGTTGTTTTGTTGTCTTTTTCTTTACTCACTCTTACTACTCAGGTTATTACAACGGGGACTAGCTCTGATCTCTCTAGGAAAGTGTGGGTCACCGCTTATAAAGGTGACACTTTCTGAGCTGTCAATCTCTACCCTTCGTCATGCTTTTAAACTTCACTAGCGAATCACACTAAGCTACGCAGAGTTCGCATACAAAGTAGTTACCTTCGCGATGTTTATGCTTCACGAAATGTCTTTCTAACTTAAATTTCTTGGTCTTACGGTCAAGTTCGGGCAAAACAAAAACAAGATTGACAGTATAAAAATTATAATAAACTTATTAACAGAATTAAAATCATACTTGAAAAGATATCTTAAGAGGAAATAGTCCTTGAAGGCTGTTGCATAACAGCAGAATAAACACAAAATTCGGAAAAGAAAGGGCGTACCCAAGGTACCGCCCCTAAAAGAGCTACGTGCTAGTCGTATAAGTTATCTGATTACAAATTCAGTGTGGAAGATAAAAAGTACTACATGCTTGCACTTTAAGTCACCTCTAAGAAAAAGAGGTGTCGAACGTGCTAAATTAAAATTAAAAACTATTTTCCTGATCGGGAATTCATCATGGATTTAGCCTAAAAACGAGAGTATAAAGGAGGTAAAAGCATAAAGGAGGGTTATTTGCCAGGAAATTCCTGCACGGGATTAATTTTTATAAGGTAGAGTCGTTTTCTTAGCGATTAATCATCTTTTAGCAACATAATGAACACACACTGATATCTAGCCGCAAACCGCAGTTTACACAAAAACATCTGTCTCCATGTCAAATTCACGGCCATAATAGGAAAAAGGTGACCAAACTCTACCTGTAAGGTAAGACCGCCAAAAGGAATATGAAATGATCAACTGGTTTATTACAATTTTCACTGCCTATGCTAATATATTATTTCCATTTATTTTCATGTTCAAATAAGTCAAAAATCACCCATAATGAAAATTCTTGCTAGATACCAATTTTGTCTTTTAACAAATCCGTTGGGAAACTAAGAGGCTTATGCGAGCCACAGGCTCCTCATGTTTTACAAAAGTGAGGTATCAGTTTTATGGCGTGATTTAAAACTGGAACTATCTTTAAAGCGCACTTTAAACTGGAGCTGCTTCTCTCTGACAGGATTCTGTACCTACTGACTGCTTCTTCCACAGGACAAAGCATTTTTTGAACTCATCCCTAAACGTGCTGTTCATAAAACCATATATGAAAGGATTTATGAAGCTGGATGAGAAAATCAGAAGAGTCGCGAAAAGTGCGAGCTGGCGTGGTATCGTTACACGAAAGGAAACAACAGTCAGAGTTTGAGCCGGCAACCACAGGCTGAGAAAGGCGGCAACGGTGACAAAAAGGACTTTGCTGACTCGTACATCTTCTACATTTGCACTCTGCCACGAAACATTTGCATTGTGCATCTTCACGGCCCTGTGTATTTTCCAGTAACAAAAAACGATAACAGGAAACGGCAAACACGAGTTAAATACTAGGATCGGTCGTGATATTGGCATTGGAAACCATATCACAGGAACTGCAAAAGCTGGGTGCACATAGGAGGGAAAACCGAGTGCAAATATAGAAACAACAGCATTAACAATGACTACGGCCCACACCGCCGAAGCTGATGAGATGATGAACTTCTTTGTAAAAAGAGTTTGGTATTTCGCTGGCTTCACTATCTTGTAATACCTGTTTAAGGCCATCAGTGCCATGGTAAACGTCGAGATGTACGTCAGTGATATCATGGAAATTGCTGCAAAACGACTCAGAAAAGTTCCGAAAGGCCATTTTCCAGTGGCCAACAAGACAACTGACAGCGGCATTGTAAACAAAGCTTGCGAAATATCAGTCAAGGCCAAAGATATAATGAAGTAGTTGTTTGGGCGACGAAGTCTTGGCTGTCTTCGTACGGCATAGCAGACCATGAGATTCCCAACTAGAGAAAGAACCATTACCAAAGCAAATATAGCAGTTTCACACACCACAGTCACTGTTTTTCTTTCTTGCAACTCGTGCCAAATCGGAAGTGCATCTTCTTTACCGAGAGACATTCCTATTGTTACCAGAGTTATCCCTCGTTACTTTTGTGGCAGAGAACCTAGCAGCCTTTAGCACGGGACGTAATTCGCAGGAGGGTTTAGTGTACTCAGTCCTGGTAGCGTAAAAAAGAGTAAACCTCAGAAATTCACCCTGGACTTCAATCCAGATTAAAATTCAACCTTGGGTTAGCACTAATCAACCTTCGAACAACTGGGCCCAGAAATAATAACAAATTTTGCATACAGATTAAATGAACGGTCCTCAGAATGAAAAAAAGCTCATCAGAGTTCATTTCCATCGTATTGTGGCATGACAGTTTAGGAGCTGATTCATTGAAATTCTAAGGGTAGAATGAATTAATAAAAAAGAGATTGTATTAGATTGCATTAAGGGTAGAATGAATTAATAAAAAAGAGATTGTATTAGAGTGCATTTTAAATCAACCTGGAATGGAACATGTAAGTCAATAAATGGAGATGTTATTAAATATTAATTTTATCTCTAGCTATACCACTGGGTTTATTGATTAAAATCCTTCTCGCGAAGAAATATCTAAAACAGACAGACACGCCTCAACAAAATTCGCCTGGGTTGAATTCTAAGCCATTCAAGGGTTTCTGCTTGCGGCGTAACAGACAATGAGATAACCAAATAGTGAAAGAACCCTTGCCAAGGTAAATATTGTGGTTTCAAGCACCACAGTCACTGTCTCTTCGATGCAGCTGAATCCAAAACGGAAAGCTTTTGCCTGCACTAAGAAACATTCTACGCTTACTTTCTGAGTTAAAAGAGAACGTTAAATTATCAGTAAGTAATACTATGGTAGAAAACCCACAAGCCTGTCGTAGAGGTCTGACGGTTTGAGGGAGGGCTCGATGAACTCAGGCAAATACAGCATATAGGGATTTAAAGTGCCCAGAAATACTGCCTTCAGCTTAAATAAAGGGAGTTCAGACACGACTTACCCCACCAGAACCAAGTCAGTACCTCATCAGGAATCGATTCCATTGAGCAACTACCTCGTAACATTAAAAAATTGAAGATCTGGTTCATCGAATTCAATTCAGTTCATGAACTGAAAAAGGAAGTAAAGTGTAGTTGACACAAAATTTGAACTGAAGTCGGCAGTAATCAATGTCATCATTTTGAGCTGCACC